TTGATGGTAAGAAGCGCATGCACATAATTAATCGAAGGTCGCGCGGCATTTAACTGTGTTAACTATTATATGAAATATCATTAAATCGGCTATTACGCCATTAGTTCGTTTCCATGGTTGCTGTAACCAAAGCTGTATCACCTTATGGTCAGCTTGCTCAGTAGTGGTCATAACATTCATACCCTTCCTCCCATATTCACTTTTCCGAAGTACAACGGAAGATGCAAAAGATTTTCGCTGCCGTTCATGTTGTTCTTTAGCTCACCTATTATTAATATCTCATAATGACCGTCGGCAGTTGTGCGAGTTGCTGACTGTACAGGATTTTTTCGTAACTATTAAATATAATTAAGTTTTCATCCCAGCTAAATGTGCCTGAAAGTAAGCGGAGTAAACTTCTGAATAAAATGAGATTCAAAAAAATCACTGGTTTTGTTAATTTTGATTTAAAATACTAGGTAAATACTTGCCATAAGATAACAACAACAATGTAAGTTGAGTTTTCTAAATTTCGATGGAGTTCAGAGAGAACAGATATTCCGCGATAAGCTTTAAAGTTCTCATCAAAATTCATATCATTTTAAAATCTTATTAAGCTCGAACCATAACTGGGGAACAATTATGCTTTAAGATTTTTCCTCACAAGCATGATGAGGCTTTTCCCCCCATATTTGCTGCTAAATCTTACTAAGCAAGATGTTTAGCTGGACGCAGGCAGAAAAAAAAAGGTTGCCCAGTTTAAACATTGATAAAAGGTCATATAAGAATCCGAACGACCGGCTTAGCGTAACTAGATGCATATGGTTGGTTCCCGAAAGGGTTTTGTGGTAGTATTAATGATCCAGCAAAATGAAAAATAAAAAAGAAAAAATAATGGAGCAAATGACAGTATTTTTACTGGTTTGTGAAACAAATATCAGAAAAATAAAAAACACACGGAGCCGATGTGTGCTTTTCAGATAAGCTCTTAAACTGCATGGTCGAGGAATACGCACAAAAGCAGATTATAATTCGTCACAAGATTTCCAGTCTGTTTACCAAATGAACAGAAAAACACGTACACAGGTCAATGCATTTTTCAAGGTTAAAACTTGTCAAAATCCTTTCCGTATGCGCTCTCTATCACAGGAAGTTTGCAGTGATATATATATATTCTTTAATATATATATATATATATGAGAGGCCGAGGCACTCGGGAAATAACCGATGTGGTAGCAAATGCCAACAGCAACTATCCGTTTGAAGATCGGTCCTTCTTCCGAAGACTGCTTAAAAGCAAGCTGACGGCGAGTTCGATTCCCTGACATGTGCCAGTAGCAGTTTATCATCGAAACGGTTGAACTAATCGTAGAAAGATTTGGTTGTCACATTGGTAGCATGGGAATATCAGCCTCCTTCATGATAACAGTGCAACTACTGACTGCTTCATACACGCTAGCTAAGTGAAACATAATAATATACTAAAGAAAAGACAAGGAAAAAACCAATACAAATTTGACTGCCGAAAGAAAAAAAAACTTTTTTAATGAAAAAGTTAAAAAGACTACACCCAAATCTTTTAAATATATCAAAAGCTGGCGCTAAATGAGAAACCAAATGATGTGTACAACTTTTGCGAGGTGCATCGCATACACATATGGAGAGCAATAAAAAAGTGCCAACGGGAAATGAGAAGTGCTTATATGTTTGCTTTTCGAAAAACCCGAACAAGTCAATGCCGCCCACAACGGGCGGAGGGCTGGAATGTGATTCCAAACAATCCGGAAACCATTCGGTGCACAACAAAGGGTTTGAGAAAATCACTAAAAAGCAAAAAATAATGATTCAGTGAAGCAAAAAATGACGATTTAATGTCACAAAATCTCGCTTTTCTTTTTGAAGAAAAAATGCGTATGTCGGACGTGGCCAGAAGGTGATTGGAGTAACCAAAAAAAGACTTTATAAAAATTATTGGTCAATTTTCCACTCTTTTTGTACTTATTGTAGCTTTTCTCCAAAGAAACCTATTACAGTCTTATTCATTTCCTGTTTCTCTTTTGCAAGAAACATCAATGACATTTCGAAACATCTAAGGCCTTGCCAAGTGATTCGGTTGAAAGAACAGGTGAATCTGTAATCTCTTTCGAAGAAATGAACGTCAGGATTGCCGGCAAGCTGACCACCACGCGGCTTAGCATTGGATAAAGCAACTAGTAAAACTGAAGAACCACATAAACAACAGCTAATCAAAATATTTCAAGCATAACGAAACTTTTTTTCCATATACTTTTCTATTTTTCACATAATTTCGGTTAAAACACAAAACCAGCAGATGAAATGAGTGGAGTAACGTTGGCTTCTAGCGCACAAAACAGTAGTACCAACGGAGTATTTCTTCATGATTATGTACACAGTCGGACAAACCACTTGCTTCACTGACAACCGTTGAAGCATCGCGCATCAGCAACTGACAGTTCAGAAGAAGGAAAAGAACCACTCGGATGGACTCCGTAAAAGTAATTGCCTACCACATGTCACCCGGACATTTGTGGAAATGACGATTCCGTTGTTTGTTTTCTTTCTTTCGACAACTCCAAGTACTGATGTCACCCGGACATTTGTGGAAATGACGATTCCGTTGTTTGTTTTCTTTCTTTCGACAACTCCAA